TTTCCGATCGTGAGAACTTTTTAACCTCCCCTCACTTCCAGTCATTTCAAAGATCATGCCCCTGTTTGTTATTACATGTAAAGATGCAAAATAGACTCTCTTTACTGTGCACCCCGCAAGAATCGAATCCCGAATTTTGACACGATAAGCCCTCAATTTAGTTTACCGCTGAGCCACTCTGGGGGGGGGGAGTACACACTGTTATAAAGTAAAACTTTAAGAAGCAATAACTAGCACGGTGAATGTTAATTTAAGTAAAGATTAAACGTCGACCATTTTGGTGTTCCTTGACATTCCCTCCTTGGAACATCTAGTTTGTTTAATTACTGGATTATTTTATATTAGAATCTTGTGCTTCGTATTCTAAAGCAACTTTAATTTCCTGAGAAGTTGGGGTTTATGAACCATTTCTGCATTCAAAACTAAATACCAGTATATAAAGCTATATTGATCACTTATTCGCAAACTAAACTAAAACTAACAGCAATCATTAGTTCATATATAACAACCACTACTGTTACGTGTACGTTGCAACTAAAGACCCTTTCCAACTAACATTTAATTCGCTGATATCCAGTTCGTTTTTCAGTAAACGGCACCTTTTACGACAGATGGGCTGAGTGGACAGGTAAGCCACGCCTAGGTTCAGGAAATCCGTCCCTAATTTAGAAAGGGAAAGCAAAAAGTCAACAGCACCCGCCGCCTACATGGCAACTCTTACCAAATAACGAGATTAACTGTTACTTCTATAACGCACCCAGAGGATATCACAAGGGCGAACCTTAGAACATCCGTAACGCAGCCCTATCACGCAAACCATGGCCTCCCGCTGAAATAATATAATACGGTAAAAATAAAAACAAGGAAAACAATCATAAATAAGTTAAAAGCTAACAAAAAAAAGCCATAAAAATTAAACTTGACATAGGTTGTTGATATTTTCCATCATTCTTTTGTCGAAGGTGATAACCGTTTCTTTGTTATTAAGCGCAAAGCTACGCAATGGACTATTTGTGCTCTGCCCACCGCGGATGTCGAAAACCCGATTTTTTAGTTTAAGAAGTCCTCAATTAACCACCTTGCATAACTTACAAAACCAGTAAAATCTAAGTATGACATTAGAATTATTTCCATCATTTCTCTGTAAAGTAAGACTAGAATAATGGTGCAAAAGTAAGACTAGAATAATGGTGCAAAAGTAAGACTAGAATAATGGTGCAAAAGTAAGACTAGAATAATGGTGCAAAATCAATTTCAAAGATCTCCTTCTTGTAAAGTAGTAACAATAAACAGCAATGTGTAAAACGTCCTCCAGTGAAAGAGTGGTAAGTCTGAGGACATACAATTCTAAAATCCGAGGTTTGATTCTCCGTGGTGTACAGAGGCAGACAGCCTATTATATAGCTTTGCGCTAAAACAACGTAAAAAGCAGCGAGTCATAGGACCTGCTGTTTCTTTCAGAATTCTCTCGTTAGAGCTGCACGAAAAGCTACCTGTTCATAGCCGTCCCTAATTTCGAGCTACCTGTGCATAGTCGACCTAATTTCAGCTACCTGTGCATAGCCGACCTTAATTTCGAGCTAACTGTTCATAGCCGTCCCTAATTTCAGGCTACCTGTGCATAGCCGACCTTAATTTCGAGCTAACTGTTCATAGCCGTCCCTAATTTCGAGCTACCTGTTCATAGCCGTCCCTAATTTCGAGCTACCTGTGCATAGCCGTCCCTAATTTCGAGCTAACTGTTCATAGCCGTCCCTAATTTCGAATTTTATAGACAAGAGAGAAGGCAGCTCAACTGACCGAATAGAAGGATTTGACCATCTCTCTCTTATAACGTACACACAACACTAAAGTGCGTAGGGGCTTAAGCCTCGATAAAACGGAAGTATCATATGACAACCTGCACATAAAACGGAATTGTGAAAACAATCCAAAAACTTCGAGCACTTTCATCACGAGCATACTTCCCAAGTTACAAATAACTCAATATCGACGACAATTAATAAAAACGTCCTTCATGTAACTAAGTCTCTTTATTTTTTCTTCAGCTATTTGTATCTTAACAATAATTTTCGTTTACGAAAAACCGTTCCCTTCAATGATAATATTCGGTATTAAACCCAAGATATCAAGTTTCATTTATTCACGTGGTACTGGCAAACATCACAAATATTTTACAAAAGCTATTCTTCCGTGAAAAATCTTGATACAAAAATTAAGTTTGTAAGTTGTTTTTTAAGTTGAAAATAATGTTTTGTTTGAAATATAGATGGCGCCAGACGTCTAAAATTAGAATTATCCACAGTTTATAATATTTTGCTAATATATATATATGTATCTGTTATATAAATCGAACGTAAGTCTTTACAGAAGAGATATTTTTTTAAATTCCATCCTTATGTTCGTTCAAAAAATAACACATTAATGTAAAAAATAATAATATAGGGACTGACCACGATAACATAGATTTTAAATTCACAATTCCAAGCCCAATAAATTTTTGGATATTGTTACCAAAGCTGTCAATGCCTCATTTTCCCTCCATTTAAGTTCGATATAGTCGCTTTATTTTTTTCCTTATCGAAAAACCACAATATATCTGTTAATCAAAGAGGCGTTTTTTTCCTGTAAGAGAATGGATATTTGTCTAGAAATATGGTTGCTATTTTTTTTTCTCGTAATATGCTGTGAAAATGAAACTTTCTTTGACTATTATGGTCACACAATAATTTACTTGTTACAGGAAAGAAGTGAAGACCCAGGACCTTAAAAACTGTTATATCCAACACAGAGGTAGGAATTTTCTTTAATATTCCGTTTATAATGTATTTCTTTTTTACCTTAAAAACCTGTTATATCCAACACAGAGGTAGGAATTTTCTTTAATATTCCGTATATAATATATTTTCGTTTAGTATATTTGGTATAAATGGTGTAATTATTAAGTTAGAAATACCTCCAACAAAATGTCTTTTTATGCCACGCTTTCAATCTAACTTTTGAATGTCTTACAATGTGATTATTAAAAGCGTTATCCAACTGGAAAAATTCATTTTTTTTACTTACTTTATTTAAATATTCTTATTGCATAAGTGAGTCCCATGTAACAATCTGCATATGAACGGAAGTATCATGTGACAACCTGTACACAAAACGGAAGTATCATATGACAACCTGCACATGAAACGGAAGTATCATATGACAACTTTCAGATAAAATGAGAGTATCATATGTAAATATGCACATAAAACGGAAGTATCATATGACAACTTGCATATAAAACGGGAGTATCATGTGACAATCTATAGATAAGCCGGGAGTATCATGTGACAATCTGCATATAAAACGGAAGTACCATATGACAATATGCACATAAAACGGAAGTATCATATGACAATATGCACATGAAACGGAAGTATCATATGGCAACTTGCACATAAAACGAAAGTATCGTATGACCCTCTGCAGATAAAACGGTAGTATCATATGACAACCTGCACATAAAACGGAAGTATCATATGACAACCTGTACATAAAACGGAAGTATAATATGACAATCTGCACATAAAACGGAATTATCATGTGACAATCTGTAGATAAGCCGGGAGTATCATATGACAACCTGCACATAAAACGGAAGTATAATATGACAATCTGCACATAAAACGGAATTATCATGTGACAATCTGTAGATAAGCCGGGAGTATCATGTGACAATCTGCATAAAAAACGGAAGTATCATACGACAATCTGCATAAGAAACGGAAGTATCATACGACAACCTGCATAAGAAACGGAAGTATCATACGACAATCTGCGTATAAAACGTTAATATCATATGACAACCTGTATATAAAACGGAAGTATCATATGACAACCTGTACATAAAACAGAAGTATCATATGGCAACCTGCACATGAAACGGAAGTATCATACGACAACCTGCACATAAAACGGGAGTATCAAAACAATCCAAAAGGTCCGATCTCTTTCATCACGAGCATCCTTGTTTGTTGACATTTTACAAACATTTACCCATTGAAAGCTTTTAGCTCAAATTATGGATTGCTTTTATTGCTTCCTCCATTGTGCTATGTAACTCATACTGAACACTAAGGGAGTGACAATAATTTTATGGTGCCAAAACTAAAAATCTTACATGTGCAATATTACATGAAATTGTAACTAGCAAGTGTACCATTGTTCATTTGTATGTTTGGTTTTGAATATTTGCGCAAAGCTACTCAAGAGGCATATACGCTAGCCGTTCTTAATTATGAACTGATAGACTAGGTGAAAGGCAGCTGCTCAACAGCGCCTACCGCCAACTCTTGATTGACGAAATAATGAGATTTAATCGTTAGTCTTATAACGCACTCACGGCATCAAACTACGTCGTGCGATATATTCTTTTTTGTTGTTGTGGTAACAGGATTCAAACATGGACGCGCATACCCACACTTTTAAATTATGTCTTTTAATTCATAATATCGTGAAGCATAAGAAATAGGTATTAAAGTTTCTTTATAATTATTTTCAAAATACCAACACACGTGATTATTTAATGTAATAATATTCTACGTGATGTTAAATTTCCCAGAATTCCGCAGTTACGATCCTTGCCCTCAACAATGTCTCGAGGTTTATGATCCAACTTGTGGGTCAGACGGTCGTGTGTATTTCAACGAATGTTACCTGCGGAAGAAGACTTGCGGGTAGGATTTTATTTTATTTTTTGTGTTATTGAATCTGGTAAATATTTTAAAGCTATTTTCAGTTTTCCTTATTAGCTCCGTCAAAAAAAAAAACACCGTACAGAATATAAATGTAACTATGAGTACTAGTCTACCCTGATGAGTGAAACTTTAGGGCTTAGCCAATATAAACTCCTTCTTTGCTGTAAAATTGCTATGATTTTCACTCAGTTTATTCCATTTTTCAGTCTAAAGATAGAAATGTGTGGTTTCTACACGTTGATTCTCCAGCAATGTGTGGTTTCTTCATATTGATTCTCCAGAAATGTGTGGTTTCTTCACATTGATTCTCCAGAAATATGTGGTTTCTTCACATTGATTCTCCAGAAATGTGTGGCTTCTTCACATTGATTCTCCAGAAATGTGTGGCTTCTTCACATTGATTCTCCAGAAATGTGTAGCTTCTACACATTGATTCTCCAGAAATGTGTGGTTTCTTCACATTGATTCTCCAGAAATGTGTGGTTTCTTCACATTGATTCTCCAGAAATGTGTAGATTCTTCACGTTGATTCTCCAGCAATGTGTGGTTTCTTCACATTGATTCTCCAGCAATGTGTGGTTTCTTCACATTGATTCTCCAGAAATGTGTGGTTTCTTGACATTGATTCTTCAGAAATGTGTGGTTTCTTCACATTGATTCTCCAGCAATGTGTGGTTTCTTCACATTGATTCTCCAGAAATGTGTGGTTTCTTGACGTTGATTCTCACGTTTATCAAATCCTCTTTTTTTTTCATTATCATATCTTAATTGTAATTTTAACCTTTTCATAACTCTCTCAAATATTTCATGTTTTCTTCTAAGCATTTCTCTCAAATAATTCGTTCACTTCTACAAATTTCTGTTTTGTTTTGAATTTCGCGCAAAGCTACACGAGGACTATCTGCGCTAGCCGTCCCTAATTTAGCAGTGTAAGACTAGAGGTAAGGCAGCTAGTCATCACCACCCACCGCCATCTCTTGGGCTACTCTTTTACCAACGAATAATGGGATTGACCATACCATTATAACACCCCCACGGCTGAAAAAGCGAGCATGTTTGGTGGGACGGGGATTCCCCTCAGATTACGAGTCGAGCTCCCTGGCCATGTTAGGCCTCACTTTTATAAAATAAAGGGTGCATTTGTGTCATCCTATCTTGGTGTGTAGAAAAGGCACGTTTTTTTGTTGTTGTTGTTTTGTTTTTATTTTTCTTCCCTTTGAAATAAAGTTCAATTTTGGGCGTTAACTCCAGAAAAAATAGCATTTTAATCTCATTTTTAAGAATAAGAATACGATTGATATTTATGAAAGGTTAAAATCATAAGCTCTTAACTGTGTTTAGATAAAAAGTAACTTTCGATTTTTCCGGATTAGGTGGCCATTTTTTTTTCTGTTAATTAATTCATGTTAATTTATGGAATTTTACTAGAGAGGGAATTCGGGTAGTGGATATGAAACAGTGTGTGCAGGTTCGAGACTGTCCCCGGATTTGTGTACCGTTTCCTGAAGTTGTATGTGGTTCGGACGGTAAACTATATCTGAACGAGTGTCGGCTTCTCCAGAAGAACTGTGGGTATGTGATTTATTCTATATTTCTGGAGTTGTTCTTCTACCTTAACGTCAGTTTAGAGCTAAGTCTCGAATGTTGTAATATTGTGACTTTATTACAGAGTTGAAATAACGACATGTACAAGAAAGACAACCGAAAATACTAGTAAAACTCGTGAAAGTTTTGTATTTTGAAGTGGGTGATTATAAAATCACAAAATTACGTATTCAGTAAATAAAATAACAGATTTATTAGAAATATTAGAACTTTAATTTTAATATATTCCGATTAAAGGTTTGATTATGATTTATTTCAGAATAAGGTATTTCATAATCGTTTACTCTGTAAATCAAACTTTATATTATTTTATTCTTTAAATCAATTGATGTTTATATTTGATAGTACGATATAATAATGACTTAATATGTATAATAAGGTATAATGGTTATTTCGAATAAAAAAAAATTGTTGAATATTGAGATTTGATATTGTGTTAATCCAGATAATGAGGTTTAATTAAAATCTGGTAGTATTTTGATCTGGATAATAAGGTTTAATAATACTTAAATCTAGAGAACAAACATATTTAAATATGAATAAAATATGTATCAATATTTAACTTTTGATAATAAGATTTGCTGAATAATACGATCTTGTAATTTTTTTAATCTGGATAAATAAGGTGAAATAATACTTAAAACTGACTAACAAATTGTATTTGTAGTTAAGATTTATTACAGTTTTATAATAGGTTAAAAAAAGTTAATCATAATTTAGTTTAGGATAATATAACTTCATAAATCTTTATTTTTTGTTAATAATTATTAATTGCTGCTTTTCAGAAAAGATGTAAGGGTCAGACCAGACAGTTTTTGTGGAAAACAAAGTTAAGTGAACTGAAGCACTTAATAACGGCTATATTTGGATTTACAGTTTTAAATTGGAATTGATAAACTTTTTCTTTCATTAGAAACTATATATTGCTTGTAAAATAACATACATATATATATGCATATGTATTCAAACCCCCAGAATGTATAAAATAAAAGTTTTTTTTTATATGGTCTGTTAAAAACTTAATAGCTGTACAGCAATTATCCAATTCAATATTTTGTGAATAAAGATAAAACAAGTTGAAAAATCAACTTTTTCAGGAATGAAGTGATAAACCAAGTTGGTAATTAATGTAGCCTCTAGTTTCACGAGCTAATTATTAATGTTTTATCTTTAATAAATGAAGTGATAAACCAAGTTGGTAATTAATTTAGCCTCTAGTTTCACGAGCTAATTATTAATGTTCTAGCTTTACTAAATGAAGTGATAAACCAAGTTGGTAATTAATTTAGCCTCTAGTTTCACGAACTAATTATTAATATTTTATCTTTAATAAATGAAGTGATAAACCAAGTTGGTAACTAATTTAGCCTCTAGTTTCACGAACTAATTATTAATGTTCTAGCTTTAATAAATGAAGTGATAAACCAAGTTGGTAATTAATTTAGCCTCTAGTTTCACGAACTAATTATTAATATTCTAGCTTTAATAAATGAAGTGATAAACCAAGTTGGTAATTAATTTAGCCTCTAGTT